TAATTTATTATATATCCTTACTATGGGATGCTGTGCACCTACTAGAGAGAATGAGGTAAATTTATATATATACTGATAGGGAAAGATGTACATGTGTTATTGCTAGGTTCATAAAAAAAAAGCAAATAGGCCAGTCTCAGTGGCTCACACCTGTAATCTTAGCATTCTAGGAGGCTGAGGCAGGAGGATTGCTCAAGGTCAGGAGTTTGAAACCAGCCTGAACAGGACTGAGACTCTGTCTCTACTAAAAATAGAAAGAAATTATCTGGACAACTAAAATATATATATGGAAAAAATTAGCTGGGCATGGTGGTGCATGCCTGTAGTCCCAGCTGCTCAGGAGGCCAAGGCAGGAGGATCGCTTGAGCCCAGGAGTTTGAGGTTGCTGTGAGCTAGGCTGACACCACAGCACTCTAGCCCAGGCAACAGAGTGAGACTCTGTCTCAAAAAAAAAAAAAGCAAATTGCTGAATAACATAGCATAAACTTGTAGTTATGTAGGCTCTCTATAGCAGTGTATTGGAGCTGGCTTGCACTGGCTTACAAGAGCTGATTGTAAATTTTCAGGAATTTGGCAAGCTTATCATTAAGCAGTCGATAGCTTGAAATCAGCCACAGTGAGGGTATTTCCACGAAAGAAATTGGAAGATTACAAAAAGGGCTTTCCCTCCTCCAGAGAGTTGGTTTACTTGCACACCAGTGCTCAAAATAGGCAGATATAATTTTATATAAGCAATACACAATTATTTAGAATGATGAACACCAAACTATGAATTGTTGAATCATACATAGTGATTTCCTAACTTTAAAAAAGAAAAAATTAGCTGCACCAACAATCTCACAAAAACGCGAATACTACCATGCTATAAATAAAATCCATTTAAAGGTCCAAGTAGAGTGTAGGAGAGCAAAAGAATATTTTCCTTCTACCTGCCTAGGTTCTTGACTGGGGCTCTATAATAAAAGACAGATTAACAAGAGAAAAGCATAAAATGAATTGTATAATTTTCATGTGACACAGGAGCCTTCATGAGGAGGTGAAGATATCAATCAATGTCTATATGTGAGTGTTTTTCTACCGGGTTTGATAAAGAGTGCCAAGTCATGGAAGAATGTGACAGGACAAAGGGTATGAGCTAAGAGCAGTAAATGGGAACATTTAGCAAGGCATTTTTGGTTCAGATTCCTTTTGGTGTCTCTCCCTCCTTTTCTCTGGGTATAGGGAGGAGCACCTCTTACCTAAGAGGCTTATGACCCACTGCAAAGAATGCCAGAGCCCTTCTTGCACTTGCTGTTTCTTAAATTCCTTCAACTTAAAATATTTAATATGCCAACACACCATATTTTGGGGTAGCATGTCCTGAACCCCATCAATAGCATCTTCTGATGTCTATGATCGATCTTTTAAGAAAAGCTAAAACAGAACTTAACTACATGATATTTTAAGGGTTATGTATACATTTGCTTAATACTAGAGTTGCTCAGAGCTACTTTTCAGCATTAAACCCACACTTCATACAGGTTTAAAATCTTGTTCAAATAGCTATAACATTGATAATGGGAAAACGGTTGCTATCCTTAACATGTGAGCATTTTTAGAAATATATCTTTGTAGGAATATATGTCTATGAGGCATATACCTAGATTTTGAATTTAGGGTCAAAGGGTAAATTTTTTCTTTTGCTTTTGATAAACTACCAAATTATCATTTAAAAGACGGTATCAATTATACTCCCAGCAACAATGTATGAAGAGTAACCTCACGGATATCTGTTATTATTAATACAAATCTTTTAAAACTTTTAACCATCTATTAAGCAAACATTTTTTTAAAAGGCTGTTTGATCTGAAAAAAAATGTAATGAAACATGATCCAAGAAACAATACTCCATCATATTCACTAGTCTGCTAACACTCAAGGGAAGAGAATTATACCAGGTATATACATCAGGGAATGGGGATCTTGGGGTCTGTCTTAGAACTCTGCCCAGTGCTTTCTATCCTCTGGCTCCCAATGATTCACTTCCCTCCAAAGTGGAAGGAAACCTCTCCCAAGTCTATTAAAATTCTCGTCCCATTAGAGAAGCAATTTAAGTCCCAAATCATATCATGTAAATACAAATCTCATCAGTTCAAGTCCATAATCTTAGCATCAAAATCATCTACTTCCACATCAGATGTGGACGAGGTTCCTGGGTGTCAGCCATTAAGCAGGGTTCCTGTGCCACAAATTTTCTCCATCTTTGGACCTGTGAAACTAAAAACTAAGATGCCCAGTACAGGCCACATAAAATGGTGGGACAGATATAAGATAACAGTTACAGGTATTCTGGTTCGAAAATGAAAAATGTTGTGAAACTATCTTTTGATGTATCAAATGACCATCGTATTTAGGAAATGTTGGTTCAAATCATTTACAGTGTGTGGGGTATAGTTTGACATTTTATATTGAATAGTAAGGATTCTTTATCAACTTATCAATACTGGATAAAAGTTATGTTCGATACAGAAAGTATGAATATTTTCGCACAGTTTGTCCCTCCTTTTTCTTTCCTTTTCTTTCTTTCTTTATTTATTTTTATTTATAGTCACAGCAGTGGCTGACAGTTTTTTATTTTCTTAATGATGAAATTTCAATCTTCAAAACTTCTGTTCAATGAAAACGGAAGTTTTAAATTCTGGAGTCCAACTTATCAGTGTTTTTCTTTTTTGATGATTAGTTGGATATCTTTGCACTAAGGTTGTGAAAATGTTTTCATGTGTTGGATATCTTTGCACTAAGGTTGTGAAAATGTTTTCTTTTTTTTATTCAATGTTCTATAGTTTTAGATTCTACATTTAGATCCAGAATCCATTTAAGTTAGTGTTTTTGTATGATGTGGTGTGAAGTTTGAGAATCCTGTTTTCCGATGAGCATACCAGTTTTTTCTAGCACAATTTTTTAAGAACACTATTCTTTCCTTCATTAAATTACCTTATGACATTGTAGAAAGTCATTCAAACATACATCCTAGCATCTCTTTTTACAGCTTCTCTTTGGTTCTACTAATCTGTCTTTCCATACAGAAATGTCATATTTCTTTAATTACTATAGCTTGTAAGTTTCACAATAAGGTGGTATAAATTATCCAAATTTGTTCTCCTTTGAAAAGCTGTTTTGGCTGTTTAATGTCCTTTTCCTTTTGACATAAATTATAAAATCAACTTGTCAATTTTCTCAAAAAAACTCTGCTTGGATTTTGCTTGGAATTCTTCTGAATCTATAGATCTTTTAAAGGGAAATAAATAGCAGTGTTGTCAGTCCATAAACATGGTATACATCTAAATTAAATTAGGTCTTCATTAACATCTCTCAGCAATATTTTATAGTGTTTAGTATAAAGGTTTTATATGCCTTTGATAAAATTATCCCCAGTTATATAATATGTAATACTATGTTAATATTATTTTGAAATTGCATGGTCCAAATATTGCTATTATATAGAAGCAAATTTGATTTTTCCCACTGGTCTTTTATCATATGACCTTACTAAATTTACCTCTTAATTCTAGTAACCTTTATATAAATTATTTATGATTTTCTCCATATTCACAGTTTACATCATTACTACATAAAAAGAGTTTTACTTCATAAAAACAAAATAAAATAAATAAATAAAAAAGGATCTCTGAATTTCAGTTGACAATTCCCTAATTATTATTAAGTTTAGTTTTAAAGATGTATTTATTTACTATTTGTATTTTATCTTCTGTGAACTCCCTATTTATAATCTTCACCATTTTTAAATTGGATTATCTTTTTCCTATTGATTTATTGAAATTTTTTAAACATTATGGCAATTAACTATTAAAATGTTAAAAATTATTTGTGTGTGCACACACAATATACACTATATATACACAATATACACACATATATACACTATATGTATATATACATATATATCATATATAATATATATACATACCATATGCATACATACATATATATACTCATATATCACTTGATCTTAGCCAAAAGACTGAGAACTGATATACTGTATATATCCACACACATACGCACATATACTATGGGTTTCTACCCTTTATTTTATTAGAAATATGTATTTATATAATGTATTTTTATATATTATTTACAATACATACTTATATATAAATATATATCCACACATATTTTTATATATGGGTTTCTACCCTTCAATTTATCCACTAAATTTTTTCCCATTCCTGATTATCACACATTTTTAATTCCTGTAATTTTTTTATTTGGTATTCCTTTAAATAAAATTCCTCGGTGTTCTTTTATACTTACTCCCTCAGTTAAACTCTGGAATTCTTTTATTCAGTTCCAAACAGAAAAAAAACTTACAAAGGGAGTAACTACAATTTCACAGAATTGACATCCATGTGTCCATATAAGAGAGTCTCTCTTCTTTTAAATCCTGTGGCAAAATCCTATAGTGCTTACCATGGGGCTCACTAAACTCCAGTCAAGTACCTATGTCTCTTAAAATGTAACAGGTTTCGTTGCTACTGTGAATAAAATCCTCTTTCCATAATATCTTCTACATTTTATATGGACACCTGAATTTTAGTATTTTATTGAGGAAAACCGTCACAGTGGTTATAATTCACTTTTTCAAGGGAGTAAATTAAGCCCTTCAAATGATATTGAACTATTATTCTACAATTACTGTATAGGAAAGAGGAAATTTCATCATTTCTGCCATATAATAATTACTTGGCAATACACCTACTGAGAGATCTCATTTGATAATATAAATCTTTCTAAAATTGTCGTCAACACTTGACACTGAAGTAAACTGCAAAAAAAAATGTGCATCTAGTTTAGTGTAAATTTTTAAATCTATGTTTGAGGATGAGTATACTTTATGCCATTAAAAAATTATCTTATGAAAAAGAAGAGTTCCTCAATGTGGTATTTCAAAGTCCAAAGCACAATTAAAATAAAATCATACCTTTTTTTTTTTTTTTTTTTAGCAAGCTCTTGCCTGTGACAGTGTGTTTGCCAACATGGCGCCCAAAAAGAAGATTGTCAAAAAGAACAAAGGCGATATCAATGAGATGACTATAATTGTAGAAGACAGCCCCCTAAACAAACTGAATGCTCTGAATGGGCTCCTAGAGGGAGGCAATGGCCTTAGCTGCATTTCTTCTGAATTAACAGATGCTTCTTATGGCCCCAACCTCTTGGAAGGTTTAAGTAAAATGCGGCAAGAGAGCTTCCTCTGTGACTTAGTCATTGGTACCAAAACCAAATCCTTTGACGTTCATAAGTCAGTGATGGCTTCCTGCAGTGCATATTTTTACAACATCCTTAAAAAAGACCCATCAACTCAGAGGGTGGATCTTAATGACATCGCGCCACTAGGCCTGGCCACTGTCATTGCCTATGCCTACACTGGAAAGCTGACTCTGTCCTTGTACACAATAGGAAGCATTATTTCTGCTGCTGTTTATCTTCAGATCCATACTCTTGTAAAGATGTGCAGCGATTTTCTGATACGGGAGATGAGCGTCGAGAATTGCATGTACGTTGTTAACATCGCAGAAACATACTCCCTGAAAAACGCAAAAGCAGCAGCCCAGAAATTCATCAGGGATAACTTCCTTGAATTTGCAGAATCAGATCAGTTTATGAAACTTACATTTGAACAGATTAATGAACTTCTTATAGATGATGACTTACAGTTGCCTTCTGAGATAGTGGCATTCCAGATTGCAATGAAATGGTTAGAATTTGACCAAAAGAGAGTGAAATATGCCGCAGATCTTTTGAGCAATATTCGCTTTGGTACCATCTCTGCGCAAGATCTGGTCAATTATGTTCAATCTGTACCAAGAATGATGCAAGATGCTGACTGTCACAAACTTCTCGTAGACGCTATGAACTACCACTTACTTCCATATCATCAAAACACGTTGCAATCTAGGCGAACGAGAATTCGAGGGGGGTGCCGAGTCCTCGTCACTGTTGGGGGTCGCCCAGGCCTTACCGAGAAGTCCCTTAGTAGAGACATCTTGTATAGAGACCCTGAAAATGGATGGAGCAAGCTTACAGAAATGCCAGCCAAGAGTTTTAATCAGTGCGTGGCTGTGATGGATGGATTTCTTTATGTGGCCGGTGGGGAAGACCAGAATGATGCAAGAAATCAAGCCAAGCATGCAGTCAGCAATTTCTGCAGGTATTTGATCTTTTATTAGGAACTGAAATGGTCCGATATTATGGGGAAATTGGCCTTGTATAGAAGGAAATTAATCGTGCCTATTAGCTGAGTTCATTGTCTCAGTAAATAATAATAATAATAATGCCACCTTACATATGTACAGCACTTTACATAATATAAAGTGCATTCATGTATAGGATGCACTTGAGATTTCTGAAATAAGCCTTTGAGGTGGACAGGGAAGATATGATTATTCTGATTTTACATATGAGAAACCTCATACCCAGAGAATTTTTGACCCTAGTAAGTGGCAATTCATGTTCACTCATTTCTAGTTGAGTACTCTTCACAATACACTGACTATTGAAAGAAATTGGATAAAATTTAGTTTTTAATATTACATGGTAAAAAAATAATAAAATAATACAAAATTTCTTTTATGTGACTGCTACTGACAACTGTCTGATTCATAATTGGCAAATAGAATGAGATCATTAAAAATGTACTAGCTAATTAATTTAAAATATTTATTTGAAGACTGAATAATGGAAAATGTCAGTATATTTGACACATGTAGAAAGAATGAAAGCATAATAAATCTTTCAGAAAAATGGAATTCCAATTCCCATATCATTTTGTATATTTAGGATAAAAATTAAACTTCTAATACATTTGAAATGTTCAGAAAGTCATGCTTTTATCATGATAGTAGTAAAAGTTAAACATAACCTAGTGGGCAAGACTGAAAATGTGCACAGTATTTCATGAAAAATATTCTTTATTATTTCATCATGCGTGTGTGCATCATTTAAAAGAACCCAAACACTTCAGTGATTTTTAGCCTATAATTTATAACTGTAGTTAAGTTTTGATTTGGGAGTTAAATGAGACAAAGACGAACATCAACCTGAAGGTGTGAGTTCTGTATTTACAATACTTCCGAACTGTGTAAACAGGAAAGCATTGGTTCTCTATGACTGCTGATTTTCCTCCTGCTGACAACCCACCTATTACTATTGAGGCTGCTGTTTTTGCAGTATTGATTTGCGTGCTTATAAAACAATAGTTCTGGGCGGGGCGCGGTGGCTCACGCCTGTAATCCTAGCATTCTGGGAGGCGAAGGTGGGAGAATTACTTGAGCTCAGGAGTTCGAGACCAGCCTGAGCAAAAGCGAGACCTGTCTCTACTATAAATAGAAACAAATTAGCCAAACAACTAAAAATAGGAAAAAAAAAATTAGCCGGGCATGATGGCACGTGCCTGTAGTCCCAGCTACTTGGGAGACTGAGGCAGGAGGATTGCTTGAGCCCAGGAGTTTGAGGTTGGTGTGAGCTAGACTGACGGCAGAGCACTCTAGCCCAGGCAACAGAGTGAGATTCTGTCTCAAAAAATAAATAACTAAAATAATAGTTTTGAGCACTGAAAAAATATATATGTCCCTAAACTAAAAGGTCTTATCTACTGAAAAGTGCTGGAAAATAGAAAAATACCACAAGGTAAGCCTTAGTTGATGCTCTTAGACATGAGCTCCATTGGTCTTGTTCTAACAGATGAGAGAAGACTTGAGGGAGCGGCTTGGCCCTACTGTGGCAGTGGCCAAAATAGGTGCCCGAATAAGGGGTCTGGGAGAAAAGGAGAAAAATAGTCCCTTCCTCACTTAATTAAGCGCTAAGAGTGAGCTAGGGATGGTTGGCGTCTGAAGATATGTGGAATTGACTTTATTGAAGCGTCCTCCAATTCCTCCTCTAATTGCCACAAATACGCAGCTGTCCCCATGTGCGCGTCTCAAAAAGTCGCACTGAATGACAGATATTTGCATATGGAGGAAAGGGGACTCTGTGGGCTCTTCTCCCAGTGGCCCAAATAAGAAGAGTGGCGTTATAAATGGAGGAGGGGGCTGGGAGTCACCAATGCCTGCCTTGCCTCTTCCAAGAGTCGCGCGTTTTTCCTGGCTAGGAGAGAAACGCCAGCCCCCAGGCGACGAGGTGCGGTGGGCCCCTCGCCTCCTCGCAGGGGTAGCGTGGGGATCTCCGCATCATGGTTTGCGGAGAAACACAGACTGCCCGGCTGCCACCGGCAAAGCCGTCACACGCTCTCCCTCTGCCCTTTCTAGGTACGACCCCCGCTTCAACACCTGGATCCACCTGGCCAGCATGACCCAGAAGCGCACGCACTTCAGCCTGAGCGTGTTCAACGGGCTGCTGTACGCCGTGGGCGGCCGCAACGCCGAAGGCAGCCTGGCCTCGCAGGAGTGCTACGTGCCCTCCACCAACCAGTGGCAGCCGAAGGCGCCCCTGGAGGTGGCGCGCTGCTGCCACGCCAGCGCGGTCGCCGACGGCCGGGTGCTGGTGACGGGCGGCTACATCGCCAACGCGTACTCGCGCTCCGTGTGCGCCTTCGACCCGGCGCGCGACTCGTGGCAGGAGCTGCCGAGCCTGAGCACGCCGCGCGGCTGGCACTGCGCCGTCACGCTGGGCGACAGGGTGTACGTGATGGGGGGCAGCCAGGTGGGGCCGCGCGGGGAGCGCGTGGACGTGCTGACGGTGGAGTGCTACAGCCCCGCGGCCGGCCAGTGGAGCTACGCGGCGCCCCTGCCGGCGGGCGTGAGCACGGCGGGCGCCTCGGCGCTGCACGGCCGCGCCTACCTGGTCGGGGGCTGGAACGAGGGCGAGAAGAAGTACAAGAAGTGCATCCAGTGCTTCAGCCCCGAGCTCAACGAGTGGACGGAGGACGACGAGCTGCCCGAGGCCACCGTGGGCGTGTCCTGCTGCACGCTCTCCATGCCCAACAACGTGACTCGGGAATCCCGGGCCAGCTCGGTGTCCTCTGTGCCAGTCAGCATCTGAGCCCCGGGTAGACGCGGGGGCGCAGCAAGGAAGAACACGTTATTAACCAACGTCGTTAGCCTTTGAGTTCGCGAAAAGGAAAATATGTAACATTTACTACACCGGTCGTATTTTGAAATGCATCGAGGCACAGGTCCTGGTGGTTTTAAATTCCTGGTATGGCATAATCTACCTCTGTGTCTTTTTATTTTTATTTTTATTTAAAAAAAAAAAAAAGCAAAATACAGTGCCATAGCCAACAGAAGAAGTAGAATTTATGTTCAGCGGCCACTGGGTGGCAGACGGAATTCGTATCCAACGAGGCATGTTTCCTGAATGTATAGCGGTTACACCCACATTTGAGATTTTTCTTCTTCTACACTTTAGTACACACGAAGCTTATGTGAGTAAAGCGATCTCACGTTCAAAAGTGTATTTTCCTCTCTCTCTCTCTTTTTTCTTTAGAAAGTTGAAAATGCTCATTTATAGGTTTTATTTAAAAATGGACATTGCCTATATCCATATAGACTTAAGATTTCATTCTAAGTCTCAATGCAATTTTCCCCCTATACTTGAGTGAAGGATTTTGAAAGGCATCCCATGGCAAAGTCAGTGAACTTATGTAACAAAATCTGACCGAAAAGGAATAGGGATCCCATCCAGGGACTGTCAAGCCGATGATACCTTTGTGTTAGCATGTTCCCCTCTTCCTCCATGCCTCAGGCCCCCAGTGTGTTTTCCATCGTAAAATCTTGCTCTCAAAGAAGAAACTGCCGTGAGTCATATAACTATAGTGTAAATCATTTGGGGGCGTTTAAAATGTAAATCATTTTAAGTCCTTTTGTCGTTTCTCCTAGAAGTCTTCACACTTTACCCCTTGTCCTCTATTACCGCGGCCCCTAAACCCCAGGCAGTGGACTGGTCTGTATGGTCTGTGGCCCGTCAGGAACCGGGCTGCTCTGGTGAGCCAGCGAAGCTTCATCTGTATTTACCGCCCTCCCCACTGCCCGCATCACCGCCTGAGCTCCACCTCTTGTCAAATCAGCCGGGGGCATTAGATTCTGCATTATGGTGAGTTGTATGATTATCTCATTACATATTGCAATGTAATAATGATAGGGGGAAAAGTGCACAATAAGTGTAACACGCTTGAGTCATCCCAAAACCATCCCCCTCTGCCCCATCGGTGGAAAAAATGTCTTTCATGAAACCCGTCCCTGGGGCTGAAAAACTTGGGGACCACTGCTCTATTAAAGGAATTTCAAGTATCCTGGGAGCCTTACTGTCTCCCTAAAAGCTACACCAGCGTGGTTAAAAGCAACCTTGACCCTAATGTAAGCACTGGGAAGATCACCAAATAAAACCATGTCCTTAAGGACCATTAACTTAAAGCTTCAATAGCCTGAAGGTTGTACAACCAATAACAATAATTTAATTTGCCCACTCTTTTATATGATGAGAATGAAGGAAACATTAAGAATTCTTAGATTTGTCAATAACTGGATGAATGGGTTCTCCTGTTGGTAAATGCCTTTGTTTCCCATTCATATCAATCCTCCTGATTTCTTTCTTTCTTTTTTTTTTTTTTTTTGAGACAGTCTCACTTTGTTGCCCAGGCTAGAGTGAGTGCCCTGGCGTCAGCCTAGCTCACAGCAACTTCAAATTCCTGGGCTCAAGCGATCCTACTGCCTCAGCCTCCCAAGTAGCTGGGACTACAGGCATGTGCCACCATGCCCAGCTAATTTTTTCTATATATGTTAGTTGGCCAATTAATTTTTCTTTCTATTTTTAGTAGAGACAGAGTCTCACTCTTGCTCAGGCTGGTTTTGAACTCCTGACCTTGAGCCATCCGCCCACCTCGGCCTCCCAGAGTGCTAGGATTACAGGCGTGAGCCACCGCATCCAGCCCTGATTTCTTAATTAAAAATCTAACACACTCATTTCACATAGAAATGTTAAAAGAATATATGCCGATTTTGTCCTATTTTTGTTAATCTCATCTGCTCCAAATTAGCTTTGTAAATCAGAGTGTATCCACTTGATATCATTTTTCTTACATGGTTGCCAAGTTTTGGGGAACGAGAGTGATTGCAGTAAATGATACATGTTTTCCTTTCTTCTTATTTATCACTTTATTCTTTGATAGCTTATTTGTTTTGGAGAGGAAGTGGCCTATCAATTATGGGTTATGTGCAATTGGATTTTGAAAAATAAACCAACTATTTAAAGGGTTAAACATAAGATATATGGAAATATAACTGGGTTTTTATTAATCCTATCCTCTCCTACCTTGTATAGATAGGTTATTGCTGGAGTTATGATATTTATATCTAAAATATTTTGTTTGAACTGTGAAAGGTGGTTCATGTAGTACACTTTGTGGAACAATTTTATATCATTGCCCCGTATTTAATAGTAACACTCAGATAAAGGCTATAAACACTATAAATTAAGAACAAGACATTATTAATGCAAAAACTCTGGGCTATTTTCTTACCCCATACAGAGGAGTAGTTTCGCCAAGTATGAGGCAGATCTAAAGGCACCTGCTCCTTTGACTCCTTCTATGCCCAGACTGGAAAATAAAGCTTTGTGAGAAACTAGCTTATGGAGCAAGTTAAATCACGGAGCTCTTAATTTACCAATGATGAAATCTATATATAGCCTTTTGTCCTTGCAACAGCATTGGTAAAATAAACTTGTCTTTTTTTTTGTTTGTTTTTATCATTTTGGTCAATACTTGCAAAGCCTATGTGAGGTTTACAACATCTTTACCTTGGTATGTGTATATGTGGTTCATTTCCTTGGTATATGTGTGTGTGCATATATATATCACAAATATATATACACACATATACTCATAAAACTGAGGAGTCTATAGTGTTCATTTTGAGAGAAAAAAAGTGTTTTATTAGAATTTGCAGATCATAAGTGGTCAAATAGATGTAATTCCTTGATGCACAGTAATAGATATGTCTCCCTTTGAAATCTTAGAAGAATTATATGAAGAGGAGGACCTAGGGCTTGAAATGAAATAAGAATCGATCAATTGTAACATTATATGATGGAAAAATGAGAAGAGATACTGAAACTAGAGGATTTTTCATGTACCAGAGCTTGATAAGATAGGTTGTGCAAAAACTTGGCAGTGGCTTTCTGGAGATGAAACTGGAACATGTTGGAGCTGGAGAAATCATTTGAAATTACCATTTCACTTATTTTCTGCATTGTTTATCTGAAGACTCAGAAAATACACATATTTGAGCTTCCCCAAAACCTGGGTGCATTGCTGTTCTAACTTCTGCTTCAGCAATCAGGTCAATAAAGATCCATATGCATTTGGAATGCCAGGATTTGTGACATAACACATTGGTAGGGAGTATGGAACGTAAAGGTTCATGAAAGTTTTGTATCCTGGAACATCCTGCACTGCTGGTTGAAAGACACAAAAGAATACAGAATCAAAACGATGTGTATCACCTTTTCATGTGTGCATGAAACATTCTTTAACCCAAGTATTGAAGCAGTCGCTCCTAGAAAACATGACAGTTTCTCCATGTTTCCCAACTGGAAATTTTTTATTATGTTTTAAGCTTACATTCAATTACACTCCCAAATCTTAGGATCCAACCATATATTTCCTTTTATTTTTCTTAAAAAAAAAAAAAAAAGACTTCTTATTTTTGTAATGCCTGAACCTTATAATTAAATAAAAGCATGGGTTAAACGTATCAGAGAACTAGCACGTTTCCCAGCAGCTGAAATAATAAGACTCAAGGTCTCTTTTTCTGAATGGGCCAGACGCCTGATGAAAGTCTCCAGGAAGCCAGACTCTAATGTAGTTTGTCCACTTTTAGTTAGGCTCTTGGTGCCAAGTTGTCATCCCTGGTGTGCTAGTTGCTTTCAGTGCGTTGAATGAGTTTTGTTTTTACTTCCTATGTTGTAAGAATGGTTATGAATAGAAGGTCAGTGATGGTACAGATTAATATAATTTAAAACAATGATTAGATAGTAGTAGAGTATTATGAATGAAGAAGTATAATTGAGGTAATAAGGAAGTGAGTACTGACTGGTTCTATGGTTTAAGGCAGAGCAGCAATTATAGCAATTGCCTTTTACAAACATTCATGTAAATAAAGGTTTACCTGGAAATATGAAATATGTAAGAGGTCAATTTTTTTTTTTCCTGCTTGTCCTGGACAAGTGTCTTCAGAATTTATCCAAGTAACCAGATCAAAGGAATTATTATCAAATCGCTTATCATTTATTTTTTTCCCTTAGTTAAAACGACATGAATTTGTGTAAGCTCTGAATGAGCTAGATTCCCATCCCAACCACTGATGAATTATGTTCTCTAGCACAAGGCGGCATTAAAAGGAATTACCTTTCAGTATTTCTTTTCATACCAATAAAAATTATAGCATAATTTTCCAAAAACTCCTTCATGAGTAATTATGAAAACTAAAGACTCTAAAATATCAAAAATTTACCTTCCAAGACATTCAGAGGGTAAATACCATTTATTTTTCCCTCTCAGGGAATTTGAAATAGGATGCTTTTCTTGGATATTCCTAAAACACTTTTTATTTGTTCAGCAAATTTTGGCAAAAAAAAAAATTCTTTGTTTTCTTAAAATATTCTGGTACTATATAATGAACAAGAAACTAAAATGTATGTAGTGTTATTTTGTAACCTTGTCACTATCAATAAAGCTGCATTCAATAAGAGCTTGGTCAATGATTAAATGTGAGCAGTTTTGAAGTGTCCTTTCTGTGATGATTGGAGTGTTTGGGGCTTTTTCTCTATTTAGTTTTCACGATGATTCACCCATACACAATAGCAACAACAACATGACAAATAATTGAAGAAATGTTTCAATAGCTTGAAGACTAGTAAAAGAAAAAGGTATAAAAAAAATCAGTAGAAACTTGCTTTGTAACTCAAAAGCCAGCCCAACCCTGGTCTAGCTCAGCCCTCACCATTTGGAATTCCTAGATTAAGTGTAGTTTCGAGTCTCGTTTCAGCCCTGACCTTAGCCAACCTGACACAGGGTCAGGTCCATCATCATTTGCAACTAAACAACTTGTTAGGAAATAGAATCGTACTGCTGTACAGACAAGCCCTCACAGCCTTTCTTTTCCACCTCACTCTTCCAAATGAGCAAATGAAATGTAACCAACATGAGATAGTCTAAGTTAGTACTTAAATAATAACATTCAGTTGAGGCTATGATATCTAGACAATCCTACGTGGTAGCAATACTTTTCTTAAACTTCTCCAAGCCCCATAACAATATAAACAGACTATGCTAGCCCCAAACAGAAACCAGCTGGTGCTGCATTCTCAGTTTTGATCATACCAGCCAGGCACCCCATAATTTGAGTTTTCTTTAAACTCCCACATAACTTGAAACTTCCCTACAGGTTTGCAAGGCTTCCCACATTCACGTATCGGTCCATCTATCCAATTGATGACATATAAAATTATTTAATGGCACTAATTACATTTAAAGTATTCTAGGATATATTAAAGGAATACCATTTTGCACAGAGTATTTTTGGCAAGCTTGGTAGAAAGACTAGAGACTGAAGGATGTTCAGTCCCATCTCTGGGTTTTCCTCTTCTGAGAGTGGTATGGAAGCAGATTTTAATAGAAGGTCCATTCCAGGAAAGGGAGCAGGCTTTGAAGCAGAGAGATTATCCAACCCATGGTCCTTAGAAACACTCTACTCAGCCCTTTCCTTTCCTTTCTAGCCACATTCACAGGTTGTTTTCTGAACCTAGGTGTAAGCTGCATTACTCCTTATGCCAACACCAATCTTCCAGCAAGTTTCAGACCAGACATGCTCCTTAGACAATAGTGAGGAAGGGAAGGCACTTTTTCTCGAACCTCTTTGGATAGATACAGTAGCCTTTGTCCTAAAGATCTTACACAACTTCTTTGCTTATCCCTTCCAGGAAAGCACCTTATAAAATTAAGCTGACTCATCTAAGCTGAATCACCATTCTGATTTTGCTTTGATATTCAATCATAGCTATAGAAGTAATCTATAAACCTTCAAAAAAGAAGGCATTTTTTCATTGCCATTATTTAGCCCAGAAATTGTAATTTATCGAAAAGGAAGAAGCAAGACTTCGATTATAGTAACCAACATTTCTCTCCACCCCTCCCCCATCCCCGCCATTGCAACATGGACCCAAAGGAAAACAGTGTCCAGTGATATGCATGGAGGACTTTTCATCTGGCTGTTCTGGCTTTGTGTTCACCTTTAGGTTTTCACCAAAGGCTCTACATTCCAGAATCCTGTGTTCTTCCATCTTGGGGATATTTCCATTCTTGATTAGTGGGGGAAACGAAGCAGAATCTGTTTTTTGCTGGACCAGGTATGGAAATGATCTACATCAATTCCACCCACATCCCTTTAGACAAACCAGACATCTAGCTCTACCTAGATGCAAGGGTGCTGGGGAAAAAGTCTCCATGTGAGCCCAGAAGGAAAAAGTAAAGTTTTCAAAATAGCATTGTCTCTGCACAATGGATGGTTAATCATCTTTATGTCTGGTTATTGATGGAGTTTCCCAGTCAAACTGCCTCCCCTCAACCATGCTGCTCTGGCTCTGCCCACGCCAT